GTGGAAAGAATCCAGCCTTGGAGAATGGCGTCAAGTTGGTACCATTCATCATCATCTTTTGAGGTAGGGACAATAGACCCGTCAAGGTAGCCGTGGAGGGTGAACCGCCGGGCAAGGAGGAGGAATAAGCGGCTCCACTTCTTGTAATTTGGTTGAGAAAAACTGAGTTGAATAGGGACATGTAATTTGACATTAGAAACAGAGAAAGCCAGATATGGAGATTTTTGGGTGGTAGATTGAGAGGTGATCTCGCTTTCGGCCATGGTAGAGAGAGGAGGGGTGGCCGGCCGTGCGAGAGAGAGGGAGAGTGGCGGCGGCGCTGGTGTCTCGGCGAGGGAGGAGGGAAGCCGAAAGTCAGAGAGGGAGAATTAGGGTTTTTGGTTAGGCTCTGATACCATGAAGAAGAATTATTTTCATTGATTAAATTGTGAGGAGAGTACATGTATATATACAAAAGTCTCAATCCTAATTAAGGTAGGAGAGACAATCTAGGAAACCTATACAAATATGGTAACAATAATAATACAATAATATTAAATATATTATATATATTTAACATATAGACTGCAAAACCTAAAACAGGAAATTTTTTGCAGAAGAATCTGAATTGTGAAATCTAACTCCACATATGACATATACATAGAAATTAACCTAATCAAAAATCACAAATTCATAGCTCATAACTCCACAAATCACAAATTCACATATCATAAATCATAATCGATTGTTGTCTGAGATAATTAAACAAATTCGGAGTATTTGGGTTGACAAAACAAAATCGAAGAAGAAATACTGAATTGAGATAGAAATTTTACCAGGCGGAAGGCGGCGGAGCGCTGGAGGCGACGGTGCTAGCGGCGTTGGCTGCAGCTATGGTGGACCGGCTCAATGGCGGCAACCGTGCTGTGATGCGTTTCTGTCTCTCTTAAATACCGAGTAGAACACACCGTTGCAAGCACGTTCTGTTTTTTTGGGCCGGTCCAATTTTTATACACACGACCCAAAAAGTTGTTTATCAAAGCTACATTTTTAAAAGAGTTTTAGAAATAAAGTGTTTTTGTTTGAAACAAAAAAAGTTTACATATACTTCATTTGTTAAATTAAATATTTTCATTTTTTAAAAACTTTTTAAATTTTAAAAAATATATGGACGAAAAGTATACTGAGTAAGATCTTTTTAATACTTTCTTTGATCCTAGAAATGTTACTGGTTTTGACTTTTAATGAAAATATGTGGGGATTTGATTAGGAGGGCATATAGCCATATACCATCATCACTATCAATGAGTAATTGAAAATTAGGCATTGTAGAGTCGCAAGAAGACATGAGATCGGGGAAGAGAAGAATAGATCTGAAGACGAAAAAGACTAGATCGAGAGATGGGAGAAGAAGATAATGGAAGCTCGGGAATAGAGAAAGAGAGTGGATGTGAAAGGTTAGAACGGTAGGATGAATAGGGTTAGAATAGTAGAGTTTGTTGTGAAAAGAATTATTTTGAGTGGAGGCGTATAAATGACTTTTTTGGGAAATAAAGAAGATTTTTAGGGATGAATGAAAAGAGAAAGGAGAAAAATCTTCAGAGAGGGGTGGGGTATATAGTTAATTATACTCCGTATATTAATACCCCGGAGTAACACTTTTTGGACTGATGCACATGAGATTTTTCCTTCATGACTTAATTTTCCATTTTTCCCTATTCATTAAAAATATTTTTTTGTACTTTTCTTTTTCTTTATTTTCTTTTATGTTATTTTTCCTTTTATTTTAATCTTGATTAAAATAAGTGAAACAGTATAATATAAATGAAAAAAAAATAAGAAATTAGCTTTATTGTAAAAAGAGAACGTTTCATTGAAAATGAAAAATGTACGTTAATTCTTTTAATTTAATTAATTTTTATTGCAAACACAAATTTTTGATAATTAAAACATTATTAAAAAATTTTAAAAATAAATTCAAAAACAATTATGAAAAAATACTAGAAAAAAGAAATTAAAAACAATAAAGAAAAAAAATTAAAAACAATAAATTCAATCAACAAAATGTTTATTCAAAATCCAATATTTTTTTATCGGGCCTCGTGTCAAAAATGGATCGGGACAATTTTGTCGGGTATACCAATATGCATGTAAAATGACTTTAAAAGATATGAGATTTTACACAACATTTGAAATGTGACACTAAATAGAGGAAGTAAAGAAAAATGAAGCGTTTTTATTTTTGAAAAAAAAAACATTTTGTTATACCCTTTATCAGAGATGTTTGGTCCAATTGCACAAATTGGAATACTGGAATTAACATTTTGCGGTTTTATGCCTACATTGGCGAATCACCCTATAAGAGTATCTCCAACCATTGAGTTTTGGCTTGGTAAATGTTATTATTTGGCAATCCATTTCAATTTTTGTGCTCCAAGGGGCTTGCTATAGTATAGCATACTTGGTAAATGTTAACTTTGACTTGTTATATATAACAAGCCTCTCAAAAAATAGCAAACCATGAAATTGATTAAATATATGATTTCTCACTTCTTTTCTCTCATTCTCCTTTTCAAAATATAAAGTTACTTCTACTCTCTAATTTTTTGTTTTTGTAAATTTTTTTTCTCTACTCTTTAATTGGTATTTATTAAATATTTAAAATAATACTCCGTATTGTTTTTTGAAATTATTATTTTTAAATTATATACTTATTACTAAATTTTTATAATATAAAATAATAATTGAATAATTATTATAAAGAGTGTATTATAATAGTAAAAACAATATAATATAATTGTTAGCTAAATTATAGCAAGGAAAGGTTGGAGATGACAATGCAAAATGGCATGCTATACCACTATTCACATGCTAAAAAATGACTTTAGCAAGCCATGTTTAGCAATTGTGGTTGGAGATGCTCTAACAAAGGAAAAAACTAAACTAGAAGATGACACCCCATCTTTGAATGTCCCTTAGCATTGATCATAAAGTATTAAAATAAAAATTTCATATTTTAATCTCAAATAGAAGTTACGATGCCAGTAGTGTTAATACATTCCGAGTAATTTAAAATTACAGTGAGATGTTACTATATAATATCATAATACAAATTTTTATTTTAAAGATAAAAATATGAAACCCCTATTTTGAGAATAAATAATAAAAAACTACTCTCTTAGTCTCATATCTTTCTTTACAGAGCAATATTTCAACTTCACAAGAACTTTTATATATTTGCGTTTTTTCATGACCTATAGGATAAAATAAAATATTCTTATCATCACTTTTTTGTTAAACTTTTGATGTACTTTTAAATATATAAGTTTTATTTTTTATTTCTATACCAATATTTTAATAAAATAGATTGAAAAAGTTTAAGACTTTTCTTCATTTTGTGCAACGCCAAAGAAGATATGGGACGTGGGAGTATGTGTTCAAGTGACATTCGATTTCAATGTCATAGGATGACCCGGGGCATCTACGGTGCTCTATTCAAAAAATTTATGGTTTTTATCCCTCCAAACCTCCCACTGCAGCCTGACCCAACCCCCCCTCCAAACTCAACTAAATATTGTGGTGTGCAATTAGAAAGGTGTGAAGTCACTTCGGGTCGAGCTCTATGAAAAGGTAGGAAACATCAATTTTTTAAACGGAGCACCGCAGGTGCTCTAATCGTGGCTCATGTCATCAGATGACATGAAGATTAATGTCCACCGGAAGACCCTCATTTTTTTATTTTATTTTGGGTGATTTGAAAAGGAAAAAAAAAATTGGCCTATTCGGATCCAAAATAAATGAAGTTAAAAATGATGGCCGATTTTTATTTTATTTTATAAAAAATATACGAAGCATCTGGTCTTTATTTTATATTTTTGGGATGCAGTGCATAATCAAGAAAAAGAGATAAAAACAAAAAAAGAGATAATACTTTCAAAATAAAAAAAAAGAGAGAGATATAACAATCATCATCATGTCTATATTATCCCCAAATCCCCAAATCCCATACAGAGAATTCCGGCAAAAGAGCCACCAGAACTGGAGCACAGGAGGGGGGATCTTATTACTGAATCTGCAGAAATCAAATGGTTTTGGGTTTGGGAAAAAGAGAAGGGGAGAGTTGGGGAAGAAGAAGAAATGGAGAATTGATGATTCTTCTTGGTCTGATCATCTTCCCAGGCCCTCTTCTTCTTCTTCTTCTTCTTCTGCAGAGATGATGAAACTTATTGAGGACTGTGAAATGCTTGACCACACCTTAACTCAAGCTAAACTTCTCTCCAAACCCATCATCATTGATTGGTTAGTTTTTATGTTTTCACTGTTTCATATGTTTGACAAGAAGATAGATAAGTAGTCCTACTCTCTTTCTTTTAAATAAAAATTATCTTAATTTCTTAATTCATCTGTTTTATAAAATGGTTCTTATTTTAACTTTTAGGAAAAATAAAGAGTGTATATTTATGATTAACTTTCCAATTTTGTCCTTGATTTGATGAATAGATTATTAGTAAAAAAGTATGATGTAATAGGCGAAGTAAGAAAAGATAGGAGTAAAAATATTTTTTAATAGAAAGTAAAAGTATTTTGTAAAAAAACTAAAAAAATAAAAAATGAGGTGTTTTGAGAAATGGAGTGAGTACTTGTCAAAAAGAGTAAAAGGATATGTAGTCTACAATCTTTGTCTTTCTTCTACACAAATTTCAACTACCCAAAATTTTAACTATGTAGAGTCAAGCTCGGACAATTAATACAGGTAGGGGATATTTGGACTTTCTAAACACTTCTAAGCCTAGTAATTCAGACTTCACAAACAATTGTATACCAAAAGGCAAATACAAACATTTTATGTCTATTTTGGCACAAACATTATGTCTGTGTTTGTGCTGGTGTATAATTGGGATATACTTTTTGGTGTATCCTAGCATTCCCCATATTAGTATTGTACCTAGACTTCAAACTACAGTTTCCAAATTTGAAGTTTTGAACTTAAGACTTCAAACTACAATTTCCAATCTCATTAGATCCTTTTGATGCATTGCATGTATTCAAAACATCATAGAAATGAGAAGCAAATTGTTATAGTGTTGTTTGGTTTTACATAGGATGGCAGCTTGGTGTAGGAAATGCATATACTTAGAGCCAAAACTGGAGAAAATGGCTGCAGAATATGAGTCAAAGTGAAGTTTCCCACAAGAATGCCCTCTCCTCTTTCCCAGTTTTGTATTTGCATTTTCTTGTTCTAAACCAGACCTTTTAAGTGTGCAGAGTGAAGTTCTACCGCGTCGATGTAAACAAGGCGCCCAAGGCTTTGGTGAAGCGCGGGAACATATCGGTGAGTTTTCTAAACAGAAGAAGAAAAAACAAATCCTATGATTTTCTATTATATATATAAGAAGTATTTTGATTTTTGCTGGACTATTTTTAGGAACGAAAAGAAGTATTGTCTCTGTTTCAGAAAATTTGTTCAGTTTAATTTTTTGGAATCAAATTAGATACATTTTAATAAATTTGACATTAATAAATGTGATCTGATTTCATTCAAAAAAAATCAAACTAAGATGAATAATATGAGACAGAAAGGCATTGTTCTTCTAATGAATTTTATTTCCTGGCTAACCATTCTATTTTTTTCTCTTTTCAGAAAATGCCAACCATTCAGGTAAAATCTTAAAGCTTTATTTTTGAAAATGTTATATCTAATATCGAACGAACCCTAAAAATGCAGTTCATTTTTTCCATTTCATAATTATTATTCCCTCCGTCCTATAATGATCTTCCCAGAGCACTATTCCAACTTCACGAGAATTTATATTTATTTGTGTTTTTTCATGACCTATATGATAAAATAAAATATTTTTGTCACTACTTGTTTTGTTGAACTTTTGGTGTAGTTTTTAAATATGTATGTTTTATTTTTTATTTCTATACCAATATTTAAATAAAATAGATTGAAAAAATTTGGGATTTTTCTTTGTTTTGCGAACGGGGAAGATCATTATAGGACGGAGGGAGTATTATTTATTTATATAAGGTTTTGGCTGCAGCTTTGGGAAGAGGGAGAAATGAGAGCAGAGGTGATTGGAGGACACAAAGCTTGGCTTGTAATTGAAGAAGTTAGAGAAATGATCCAAAAGTTCATATGACTAATACTAATATGGAGTAGTTATTTGTGGTCTTTGCCCTTTTTTTGGTGTTTTAAACACTCAAAAGTGACACAACTGGTTTGTAATGAAAGCCACAAAAAAGTTTGGATTCAAATGTTTTGTACGAATCGATGATGCCTTAGCGTATTTGAATTGTGCGACCGAAAGGAGAAATCAAAATCAATTGTCGAAAAATCGAGGGGGGGGGGACATCATATATAAAAATTGGCTAATTGGTTTCATCCATTCATAATTTCATATGAATAAAAATGTTCTTCACCAGCAAAACAACAATCCTCAATCAAGGAAGGAAGTGACAAAACCCAACTCAATAAACTGACAGTCAAGAAAAAAGGACTCATGAAATCTTACTACAACAGAAGAAATGACATTGAGCTTTGGGCTTTCTTTAGATCCCAAAACCGAACACGGCTCGTATCTTGTTAAAAATGAGATCCCTCCATCCCCTCTCTGTGTTCTCCACCACAGTTTCATTTCCATACCTGTGTATAACATAACAATGTCACACGATTATATGATCAGCAAATACTCCATATCTTCAATAATAATATAAGCAACAAACGAAAGAAAGAGATAAACATGGGTGTAAAAATGAATGACAAATAAGCTCAAGGAAAAGTTTTTAAAAAAAATGACTGACCGGTCTTCCTCTGGTACATCAGAATGGATGAGCATAACCACTGTAATTCCAGGTTCAGGCTCATCAAAGGTAAGGCGGACCTGTAACAAAGAAAGAAACACAATTGCGTCAGCCAAACAGTTTCAGGCACTGAAACTTCTCCTTGCGAGCAATACAAACAATAACAACAATTGTCCAGCTAGGACCCCACGAGAGTAAGGTTGGAGAGGGTGTGTATGCAGACCTGGCCCCTACTCGAAAGTAGAGAGGTTGTTTTCAAGAGACCCCCGGCTCAAACAACACAGATAATAATATGAGATAATCACAGAAGACACATCAAAAGTACAGGTCTAGGGAGGGAATGTGTATGCAGACCTTAGCCCAACTGGAGAGTAGAGAGACTTTTTCCAAGAGAGTTTCACACAATGAAACTACTCTTGCCGGCAATGTGGGTCAAAGTTCAGGGCACTAGGTGGATGGCAAGGACATCAAACTATAGATGGTACATACACCATAGGAAGTTGCACACCAAAAACATCATCATGTACACTCATTAATGTAAGTGTAAATTGATTATGACTTCGGAATGGGGCAGGCTACAAGAAGACTCTCCTTGTACGTTATGGAGTTCACATGATTAGGTTGTGTCAGGTTAATGCATTCAAATAATTACAAGATATCAGTTTAGTTGCCATTAGCCGGCTCGCTGTTTTGGCATGAACCTCACAAAAGGCAGCATTTTCATTCTTGTTCAAAATGGACCTCCTATCAACAAAGGTGACAGAGGGTGTAAGCTACGAATGATGTTTTATGCTTACCCAATCCATGATCTATTAGCCAAGGCGTATTTTGCTAAATTTGGGATGTTGTAACATCCATTTCAGCAAGATAAGTTAAGTCCAAGATTACTTACTCCATATATGCATATTATACTTGTTCTACTAATTTGAATATGAATTAACAGAACCCTACTATGTAGTATGTAAGCAACTCCAAGGGAAGGGGTATATGAGAGGGTAAAGAGTAATAATTGTGATATATACCTCTTTTTATTAAAAATCATTCTCCAATGGGAGAGGTAAATAAGGAGGCATTATACCTTCTTCAATTTTGAAAAGGTATCTTTACCTTCTTCATTTGGGGAGGTATATCAACTTTTCCCACCTTTTAAATTTATGCAATTACTTTAGTTATTGTATTTTTTTTTTGTATTTTTTCTTGAATGTATTATTATAAATTTTTAATTTGTATCTTTGTAATGGTAAAACTTAATGAGCCAAGAATTAACAAAAAGAGGATACTTTGTTTTTTAATTTTGTACTCTGTACTTTTAAGTTTTTTCTACTCGGGTATTTATAATTTTACATGTGCAATTGGACGTAATGTATAATTAATTATTTGAAAACTAGCATTCTAATTTTTTTCCCAATAAATTAGTTGGATTTTTATAAAATCTTTAAATTAAAAAATTTAATCAAGAAGAAACAAAGACAACAAACCTCAAATTTACCTCCCCATGACTTTTTTAAGAAGGTACATTTTATTTTCTAATAATTTGAATTTGATTTAAAAAGGTAAATCAACTAATTTTTTCCCACAAATGTATGCAAATGGATTTTTTTTCTTCTTTTGCCTTTTGATTTACCTTCTCCCATTGGAGTTGCACACTCTTTGGGAAGGTAAACTTGATCACTTGGAAAGGTAAATGAGATATATACCTCTCCAAGATACCTCCCACCATTGGAGTTGCTCACCATCTCCTAAGGCCATATTTTCTCAACACTATTGTAACAAACTACAAACACCTAATCATCATCAATTCCTAACAATGTTCTCCCAATCCTTAATTATAAATGGCTTGGCCCACTGAGGCACTGACTCATACACAATGAAAAGCAATTGATAACAATCATTTCAGCCAAGAGTTACTTAGAGCATGTTTTGTAATTGCAGAAATGGATGACTTGCGTAAATTGGCTGAATTAGAAGTGTTTGGCAATGTGCTTGTGTGTAATTACTTAAAACTTATGCAATAATTTTTTATTTGAAGCAATACATAAAAAGAATGATAAAACCTGTCCTGTTAGCTTATATTAGCCAGACCAAGAAAAGTTTGGGGTGTGTTGAGCACTTGAGCTTTTACTAAAAATAAAAAGACAGCGGAATATGGGGGTGTATGGTGCTCCATGGAAAACTTTTCAAGCTTTTCACCCATTAAGCCATGCCAAATGGCTATGTTGCACAGATTCTTTAAGTGCAACTTCTTGCCCCTGAAATAGTCCTGTTTTAGGTACTTTGGGATGTCCCCACACTATTGGTAAAATTTAGGACAAATGGTGTTTCCTAATTCCCGATCCCGGCCCTGTTTGAGTATCTCTCCCGGTCTCTATGCAACTTAGCAACAACAAAGGCCTAACTCTACTTGTGGGGAGAATAATCCAAACAAGAATGCAAAACGGAACTGTAATTCTTAACACATCAAACTAAATCACCTCAACTAAATAAATCAAACAATCAACTTGCATCAACTAAATAAAAAAAAGGATTAAGAATTTGTAAAGCAATCAAATTTTCATAAAAGTGAAGAAAGGCAATTAAGCATAATAAAAGAATCTGGAATGTAAAGGTTGTTATGTATTTATACCGTCGAGAGGATGCCATCAGGCCAGCTCCCAAATCTCCAGTTCTGCACAATCAACTTGCCTTCCTGCAGCTCTATGTTCGTCCCACTCACTGATCCATCAAATATGCTAAACTGACCACCAACCTCCTTGCTGATCCTGGCATTGCTCTGAGTGAACCCTTTCCATCTATTCTCATCCATCAATATCTCATACAAATCCCTAGACCTGCAATGGAACTTCTCAGACATTGTAATAGTCTTAAACCCTTCCTTCTTCTTTGCCTTTTTCTCCTTCACTACCTCCTTTGCGGCTGCTTTCACCTTCTCCTCCACAGAGGGAGCAATGGTCTTCTTAGCAACAGTTTTCGGCTCAAGCTCGTCCTTAGCAGGCCCACCCTTCGCCATTGCGCTTACCCAGCTTCGTACCTGCTCCAATACAAATGGCTTTCCTTTAGCAATAAAAGCATCTTTCAATCTCTTCTCAATCGGCCCGTCTTCACGAGTTGTAACCTTAATTTCCGGATCCTCATCTGCATTCTCATCAGAAATGTAAGGGATCTCCACGGTTCCTTCAGTCTTAGCCAGCGATTTCCCTTCCGAATCCTTGGCTTCGCCTTCCCAGGAGAGAACTAGGCTCAGTTCATACCCGGGGATGATCTTCCCCTTGCGAACATTCACATACGCCTCGCCCTCAAGCTTATCCAGCTTTTTGATACGGATACAGATGTTACCTTCTCCGTTGAGGACGGTTTGATTGGACAAAAGCTTGTTGAAGAAGCTGCGAGACCATTCCAGACAGTCGGTCTCGGCCCAGTGCCAGTTGTGGACGTTGGTGCCGTCGGGGCGATCCTCCACGATCCACCGCTTGTCTCCTTCTCCAAACTTGGCCATACTCCGGCGACGGCGAGATGCTGTGATACGACGATTGGAATGATCGGAAAAGCTTGGAAATGGCGATGGAGTTGTGTAGAATGTGGATGGGGAGAATATAGAAGACGAGCGACTGAGCGAGGGTTCGGAGAGAAGACTCGAGAACTTTCCAGGCTGTTTGACAAAATTAAAGGCTCGTTTGGCAGTCTCCTAAATCTAAGGATTGTTTGATTTGTTTCCATTCTTTTCTCTTTCGTTTTTAAAATTTTGATTCAAAAAATTTAAATAAAAAGAGAAGAAATAACTGAAATATTGATATAGAAAACTCTTTTTCTTATTTTATTCGAGACGAAAAAAGAAAAAAAACAGGAAAATTTGTGCAGCTGCAAGGATAATATAATTGGTTTCGGAAGGAGCAGATTTGTAACAAAGCGCAATGTCGATTCCCCACAACGTATAGTGTGAGAGTGAAATTCTAATGCGAGTTTGGCTATAAAATTTGACTCTATGTGGGACATACATTTTCCTTTAACGAATCGTTGGGTCCTAGACCACATACCTCGTCGGGGGCCGAGCAGTGAGAAGCCTTTGAGATTGGAGATTCAACCTTTTTGCAACAAGAAAACACGTTTCTTCTTAAGTGGTGAAACGAAGAGAAATATTTTTATTTCTTTAACAAAGATACAAAATACCAGTATATACTCCTGAGTATAAACATTTAAACATATGGGCTTTCATATAACAGAGTTCCAATAAAATAAAAATTTTTAAACCATAAAAATTTTTAATAAAATAAATTTGTGTCCATAAACCTAACGACAACTACACATAAGCCATGAATAGTTTTCATTTTGTTTTTTCATATTATGAGCCATATTAACTTTCAACATTTTTAAAATTACGCGACATTCAATCCCGAAAATATTTTTCAACGAGAGAATGTTGCATTGAATTTCAGGACAAAAACTTGCATTAAAATATGACCAAAAATGAAACAAAAGGAAATGTTTGTGTTCATTTTTTTTTGCATGAATATGTGTTTTAGAGGAACAGAGCCATATCCTTGCAGTGTATTGAGTCTAATAAAACCAAATTAAAATCATTCCAAGTTATTCTACTCCATCTTTATGATGATTAGAACAAAGTACTGTTCCTATTTCCTCCAGTTAGCAAACTGAAAAAAGGATCTTCTTCTTCTTCTTCTTCTTCTTCTTCTTCTCCTCTAGTTGAAGGGTCACCATTTTGCATTCCTTGAAATGAAAGCACTGGTTCATTTGCAGATGGCGGCAATGAAGACAGAGAAGGCCTCTTTACGGGCACAAATGCAACACTACGCTTCGCTTCAGACTTATGTTTCAATGGGAATGACGATCCACTCCCATGAGAAACGCTACTCTTCCCGGGAGATGATGCCACGTCATCGTTGAGATTTTTCGACGGAGAATTTGTATCCTCCTTATTCAACACGGACGATCCATCATCTACTGAAACTTCATCATCTCCTAGAAACATCTCAATGCTTTGGTACTTGATTTTCGGCGATTTGATGGGCTCATCTTGTTTCATTTCATCTTCCTGAGATTCACCTTTTTGCACAATTAACTTGTACTTATCTGTTTCCCAGACACATTCTAGGGAAATAGCGCGCCCCTTGGCAGGATAATATTCTTTAAAAACCTCAAATCCTTCGGTGTTCAGTTTCACGGATTGCTTTTTTTGGGACATGGATGACACACGATTGAACACACAGACAACATCTAGAAGCATTTGTTGGACGAGGACTCTGATTCTCGCCAGCAAAGCCAGGACAGTTAATGAAAACCCCATGAAGAACGACTGGGCAAGAAGAACGGATACCTGCGTTGCTGCCTTCAGCACCGGTTCAACCATTTGTGACAATAGATGGGCAACGCCGAGGAGCCGATCTAAGAAGGTCTGCTTCTTGCCATCTGCTGTTGTTCTTCTCTTCAGGCTTTCCAGGAGGTGAAGCTTTTGCTTGGGCCTCTTTCCATGGATGATGTCAAAGGAGGAAGTGAGTATCTCATCCAGTTTCGCTGATTTCAAAAGCCTCAGGTCTCTTCTCACCTTTGAGAGGTGCTGGAAGTATGAGCATCTTCTGTGCTGATTCTTGTTTTTATAGACAATTCGATCGAGAATGCCAAACTCCGACAGAAGCTGGCCTTGAAAAGATTTCAATCTTTGCTCAATCGTCTCAAACTCTGAAGCCATAACTAGAGGACGTAGATGAGAACACACAATGTTGCCCCAATTATAAACACCCTGCAAGATTCAACTATTTATCACGTTGAGAAGAAAAAAACAAGGGAAAAAAGACTGGAATAGGAGTAAAACATAGAAAATATACCAAAATAGGAGTTTTATATTTTTATTCTCAAAATAAGAGTTAAAATGCATATACAATGCCAATATATAAAACCAAAAAGTATTGTGAAATGTCCATATACATTGTCACATTATCACAGTGCAAATTTCTATTTTGGGGATAAAAACATGGAGCTCCTATTTTAGTACGTTTCTATATATTTTGCTCCTATTTAGGGCGATTTCTTAAAAAACAATGCTTGTGTTGAAGCTCAAAGCATTCTATGTAGTAATTTTATTGACTTAGAAAAGCCTGCCTACAAAAGGATTGAATTCAAGGCTTGAGTTTTCCAAGAGTTCTCTTAGCTGTTTCAGTAAATCCAACCCAAAGTTTCGAAAGAAGTCCATTACAAATCCAGATACCATATGCTATAAACCCTTCTTCCTGAGAGGAAGAGAAACTCCGCTGTCACATAATATAATTCGCCAAATCAACAATATCGCTCTGTCGTGTATAGGTCATCACTCCAATTCAAGAAAGTTCAATTAAGAATGAAAATGAGAGAAAGATAAAGAACATTGTACATATCCTCTGAGATAGAACAAAATAGAACAAACCAACAACTACATACTGTTTTCCCACCCAAGTATTTTTAATAAAAGAGCTACATTCGTGCTTCGTGGTTATGTAAATTCATGGTCTTTACTCTCTAGTATAGAAAATTGGAGTGGGTGAAGAGTTCCCAATTACTAATTTCACAACGAAAACCTATGGAAGAGCGAGAAGTTTTATGTGTGCACTTCATTGAGCTCTCGGTCACGATATTCAAACCAAATACTACACATTACTACAAAATGCAAACTGGACACCATTTCAACCGGGGCACTTATGGTGCTCTGTTCGTGAAATTGACGGTTCCTACTCCTCCCAACCCTCCTCATAAATCCCCACCCCTGGCCTCGCCCCCTCGCGACCGCTTCCCTTCATATCAAGGTCCAAGGAAAATGAAGGACCACATTTAGGCCTTACGAGGTTAACAAAATCGTCCTCCTCTTTTGACAGTGTGTATAGCAACTCAAAGAAATCAGCACATAATACAATCAACTGTACAAATGAGTGTTTAAATCCACGCGGCATTTTCGATGACCTAGAATAATCGCTGTCCTCGTTTAGCCCATCGCTGTGTTTTCATGAATGACCTAGAACTTCCTCGAAAGAAATCAATGGCCTAGAATCAACTGATGAGCCGGAGAAAATTACCTTAGGAAGTGGATTAACCAGTTGAATGCGAGTACACCTGGGCGCGGCGGTCGGACGAACTGGCTGGTGGCGGCGGGAGGCGTGGCGCGGCGGCCCTGTCTTTTAGTATGTACTTTAGATAAATTTAGATAGAGACCAATAATCACACCATACAAATTTGTCATTTATGTGCTTTTTCCAAGTAATTGAAAAAAATGATTTAAAATAATTTACAAATAAATATTTAAACATTTTAGAAAAACACAATTTTGTACAAAACATCTTAGTATTGTATTTTTATTACATTTGACACAATCTTTATGTCTTAAATTGTTTCTTTATTCATATTACATCTCCAATTTCAAAATATTTTTGTAATATAGTACTCTATATAATATAATTTTTGTTGGATTTATAAAATGAAGAACACTGCGAAGCAGTGTTAAATGAAGAACTCGATAGAATAACGAATCGCGTATGAAACGCTTTCAGATCAAAGTTATTTCGGGGTATACGAAATACTTCAATCGGATAAGACGTTAATTCAGAACAAGCACTCGAGAATCTATGTCTCAACCCATACCACGAGACTCTATTTTATAGAGTCGAAAATCCTTGTGATCGAACATGAACATTCGCGTAGATGTACGCGTATGTTCGCGCAAGAAGAAGAAAGGTGCGAGTTTGAACGAAAGGTCTCCTGCGGTTGAAGGCTTAATTTCGACGTTTATCCATTATGTACGAGTCCTTTACCGTTTAGGACTCCGGTCACAAAAATCTTAAGGATTTTCTTAAAAAACAACGTCCGAAATAAAAAATTTCCAAGCTGTCCCGGCAGCTCGACCCCGGCCAGGGGCTCTGCCCCTTGGACCCCGCCACCCGGGGGCTGCCGCCCCCGGACCCCGCAGTGAATTTATAATATCGTTGAACGAGCGCGCACTCCGTGCCTCCTAACTCGTTTGACAACGTCTATTTAAATTCTTGTCCGATCAAAGTAAATCCAATTACACAAAATAAATTGATGACACTAAAATCACCAACAATTTTAAAATTGAAAAGACAACTCAATGAAGGGTACCACGATCTATGAACGAGAATTGTATGTAAGGTAATTAATATTGCAAAGTTATAATATTGACTATTAAATAAATGTTTTATGTCAATAAATTACAAGTGCTAACTATGTTTAGAGAGTATTTTCATAATAAATTTTTTCCTAAGGACAATTTAATAATTTCTTTTTACAAGAACAAAAAAACATCGAATTTTTTGAGGTACATCAAAAGACTTTCATTTAATTAAATAAATGGTGTTACAATTTATGGATGAAAAACTTCACACACCTGCAACTGAAAAGAAGAAACTTAATATCTAACCCATTGATGAGATGAATCACTAACGAATCAAAAGAGTATAATAATGAATAACAACCATCAATAATAGAGTCAAAATAAAACAAGCAAGAAAGATCTTTACCCGCACACAAAGCACGAACAACCGTTTGGCAATCTAAGAGTAACTCCACGTTACGAACATCCCTTTCTTTCAGCAAAAAATTGCCTCTTTGCAAGTCGTAGCCACTGCCAATAAAGAGTCTAGCGCACACTGAATTTGGCTGTTCCTTGCCGCCACAAACCATCCGTCTGGTGAGAGAACCACACATCCAAACACAGCAATCCCCTCTTGTTGAAATATAACATCTACATAACAGCTGATGGAGGACATATTTCTAGTCTCTATTGTTAGAAATGTTGCCACATGTTTTGTTACCGGCTTACCGCCATCCTCACTATCAATATTCTTGAAGTTGTAATGCAAGATTCACAGTGATCGACATCTACATCATTTTTTGTTCCCACATTGCTTTCCAAATAGCCCATATGGTAAAAGTCACACCACTCAACACCTGTAAAATATTTGTGCAAATGCAAAACCGAAGCCACGAAACAAAGGACGTGGCTTCACCCCTTCTCATGTCTTCACTGATTCTAGCCCACACGCGATCGGCATTAGTACATCAAAGGAATGTGTGGTCCTCGATCTCCACATAACGTGCACTCCTCGACTTCAATCGCAAGTAAGTTTCTTCTATTTTTAATGGACTGAAAAAAATATTTAAACAATTTTTTAAAGAATTTCATCCGGAGGGAGGTTGCACGCTTCACCACCAAAGGACGTCTACGCCGCGTGGAAACCCGAAGCTCCATTAATGGAAACCGAGACTGGAATCTGGAATTCTCGAGTGAATAATACTCCTTCCGTCTCAAAAAATCCTTCACATTTCAAAAAAAACTGTGTTCCTAAAATATTTTCCATTTCTATTAAAAAATCACTTTTACCCTTTATTTTTTCATAACATACCTATCACATCATACTTTTTTTCTAATAATCTATAGATTACATGGTACTTGTTTTTTGAAATTCAACTCAAAAACCTTTTTTTTCATATGTAAAATTTCCCCAAATTTATACGAGCTCTTCCACAAATTCATTCTAGATACTCCTTAGATTACTATCTATCAAGTATCTTTCTTAATCTGCTGCGAAATCTGTCAAGTGTTTTGCATCTTGTATAATTCATCCCTCCATTATATTCTTCAAAGATCCGAAATTTAATTTTACTCTTTTTCTACTTGCAGCTATGCGATCATGAGAGAAAACAATCACAGTGCTAAATCCGTCTCGATTTTCAAGAGAATATTGGCGAATTGTTCAGCTCAGGTTTGCTTTGAAGTTAGCAATCATAGTTTTTTTAATTGCTGAAATGAATTGTTCTACGAACTAGTAGCTTGGATTTGCTTAATGCTGCTCATTTGCGTGCTGTGGAATGTATACCTGGAGTTGAGCTAACAGCTTGTGAAACCACTAGTTGGAAATGCAGAAATATACCTTAACACCTTAAAAAAATTATGTACCCATTGCCAAAACTCCAGCACAATGGGGGTATGGGGAAGGGGATAATTTAGGCCCAATATATAACCAGGAGTGTTTTGTTTTCGCAACGAATATAAGTTTTGGTCAGTATAATCGTCAGTTTTTTTCATGACAGAAGTTTTCAGTTATTAGCTATAAAAATATAGCAGCAGATTATCGTTCTCAGTTTACTTCATATTTTCTCCTGTAGGCAAAGGAATATGGTGGTTGTGTTGCTGCAAAGGTTCCAGAAGTTGAACGGGACATGTGCTTGAAAGAATTTGTTGAATTACGACACTGCATGCAGAATGTGGTATGATTCCTCCGTGTGAATAATCTCAAGAGAAAGAGCATGAGTTTTATGTGCATAATACATTCATGCACACAGTTCGTACCCACACCCAATTCTTTCACAATTCCTAATTGAACTTGTACTTCCATTTTTCCTGTTAATGTGCAGCTAAGAAGGAAGGTTTAAGCTGCAAACAATTTCTCACAAGTGTAAAAGGTGCAATGCGCTTTATATAGGTTATCGACTTTTGGTCAAACCAATTGTTCATCACATTGTAATTCATAATTTTTTTCTTTCGTCTATGTGATTCCCAGTGGCATAGGTGTTCAGACTTTGGAATTCCTTACTTTGTGTAGAGAAGGTTCCAAACTTTTAGAACATAAGCAGGAAATATGTCTGAAAAAACGTCTTGTTCTCATCCTCCTGGTTTTGGTGGTTCTGGTTCCCTGTCGCATGTTCATATTGATTACCCTCCTCTAAGATGCCAAGTACCCGGAGCAGACAAGCTATATTATGATGATGGGACCAAGCAACTATTTGCTTCTACGTCTGGCCGGGTAATCTGTTTTTGATGAAGATGAATGATTTTGATTTGCATATACACACACGTATGTGTGTGCGCGTGTGTCTCTATGAATATACACTCACAGGAATTTGGCAAGCATTGGACATTGTTTATTTATATTTGGATGTTTGATTCAACGGTTTCAACCTCTCTTCATTGTTCTGAATGTAAATCTTCACATTTGTAGGTCTTCTCATGGAAAGTATCTCCTTTTAACCCTCATGTTGCTCCTACCTCTGAAGCAATTGGAGTAGGGCCAGTATTGTCAATTCGATATTCTTTAGATTCAAAGCTTTTGGCTATCCAAAGATCTGCACATGAGGTTCAAATATTGAACAGAGAAGCTGGGGATATTCATATTCAAAAGTGCAGACCTGAGTCAGAAAGTATTTTAGGGATCTTTTGGACAGATTGCCCAACATGTGATATTGTCTTTGTTAAAACTAGGTATGCCTTCAAAATTTCCCTTTGTAAAAAAATCATATGTTATGAAATGTGAATGAGAGGCGATTTAATCATTGACGCCTGCTTTAGTAGTTTAGGAAGAACATAATGGCAGAATTGCAATGCTAAGATGCGCGAAATGAATGAATGGTGGTTTTTTTAGAGTTTTAGGAACACGTCAGGGCAAAAATTGCTCTTCATATCCTCCAACTTTACCTCCTCGGGGCTTCCTAATTTCAATTTTTCAGTCTTTAGCCTAGGGTAATCTTGATATTGTTTATCCTCTTGGACCCGGAAATGCTAACAATGAACCCAATAAAATCTAAAATAGCCTCACTCTTTAATTTAATGCACACTGCACAGACTTGTTTGTAGCAGGAAATGATGGGAACACAAAGGTGTAAATCTAAAGGCTAACCACATGAAGTCCACATTTAACCTGTTGAGTACTTTGGTGTAGATTTAAGCACTTTATGGAGCTGTAAAATTTACTCTTTTCATGAAATGAGTCCTAAATCATGGTTGGTGAACATGAAATGTTATAAGAACTAAGAAGCACACCGTACATCTGTAGTGTATATCTTAGACTCCTCAGGGATATGCATCATGTGACATTGTATATCCCTTCACTGCATGTAAATTTGCAATTGCTTTTTGCATTTACCCCCAAAATTGTTGATTTTCCGTCGGATTTAATTTCTAAAATAAATTATTTGCAGTGGATTGGACTTATTCTCTTATAATTTTGAATCAAAATCTCTTCATTTGGTTGAGTCGAAGAGACTGACTGTGAGTTGGTATGTCTACACACACGAGAGTAGACTAGTACTTCTTGCTTCAGGGATGCAGTGCAAGACTTTTAAGGGATATCAGGTGTTGTTTCTATTCTTCTCTGGCATCCTTTTCAACTTTATTTTTTTTAAATGCAGGAATGATGAATTTTCTTCTGTAAAATTTTTATCAACATTTCTGCAGAAGAGTAGAAAATGAGGCTAACAGTTAGCAATTAATGTGGACACTGAATATGCAAGTTTCTGTTTGAGTATTTCCATTTCAGCCTTCCTTTAGGATGGTAGAAACTCAATTTCAGTTAAAAAATGTGATTTTCACCCTGATGTTCTATAATCTATATCACATTATCTTATTGAGTTTTACATCATGTCATTCCTACATACAACCGTAACAACAACAACCCAGTATTATCTCACAAATGTACATACAGCCGTTAGCCATAACGGGATGCATAAAATTTAAAGTTAGAACTTTAGAATGTACCTTATTTTTTTCTTCAAGCATGCAAATTGCTACTACAGAACTGGACAATAACAATAGCAAAGCTGCTCATGGATTTGTTCATTAATTTCATTAGATTTAGTGCTAGTAATATTAATAATAGATCCATCCTTCTTAAGTGGTATACAAGTTTCATAGATAACCTAATGATGTGTTTCATTTATATTTAAGTTGGGTTTCTAATCATTGCAGTTTTCTTCTATGGGAATAATCCGCTTGCCAAGATTTGAAATGATAATGGCAAAGTCTGAGTCTAATAATGTTCCTATCCTTGCTGCAGAAGATGTGCATGTTATCACTGTGTAAGTGTGAATTTCTTTAATGTCTTTTGAGTTTTTTTATATATTTTATTTTATAGTATAAGTAATAACACACTGGTGTTACATTGCACTCTCAGTTATGGTAGGATTTACTGTCTGCAAGTAGATAGAGTAGCAATGCTGCTGCACTTATACAGGTTTTATCGGGATGCTGTCATACCACAGGTGAGTTCATGCTCAAGCCTCAAATTTCTACTGTTTTGGGTTATGGAATTTATGGCCTTTCTAGTTAGTTGCTGATTTGTGACACTTTAAATGTGCCTGTTGCTTCAGTAAATTAATGTAATAAGTGTGAATATTTTTGGGTATCCGGTATCTTTCAAGTTAGGGGAAAACAAGTTGCAATTGTAAAGAACAAGCTATGGACAATGTAAAACCAGCTAAAACATACTGCAGTTGTAATGAAGGGTCATAACTCACATACTTTATTTTCTAAATAAGCAAAGAACGCTCCATCTAAGCAACACTTCAGATCTATTTTCTTGAAAAACTTTAGCAATATACTTTGGCAGAAGAGACTACATTGTATTAACAGCAAAAAAAGATTCACGTGGGTGTGTGATTTTGGGAGATGATGTAGGAATTTGTGTGCTGTGATTCTGTGAAGGAGGAGGAGTGCAGTGCAGGAAAATGGAGTGGGGATCGCAGTGGCGATGGGGTCTGCTCAGTGAAGGGAACTGCAAAAATCCTGAGATAATGGAGACATTGCAGAAGAATCAAAGTGGTTAGGTTTCTGGAATGCCTGGAACTGGAAGAACCTTTAGAGAGTTCCAACTTTGTTTTCTCATCCATTCCTTTTTAAAGCAAAGATGCAACATAAATAAAATACTTGGGATTAGGAACTCACAAGGACAAAACAATCAATACCATGAACCTATTCTAATCATATACACTCAACACATTAAAATACTGAGAAATCAGTCAGCCATTCGTGTCTCCTTCTGTCATTGGTTAATGCATTTGAAACATATCATAAGCATGCAATTAACCCTTCATTTCCATTGTTAGGCCATTCTACTCAAGTCTGGGGAATTTATTGAGATGAATTTTTCATAGAATTTTTCTTTACTCTCAAACCTTATTTACTACGTATTTGAGAATTGTACTTTTTGCTATCAGGGCTCTTTCCCCTTTTATTCCAAAAGAGTTGCTGTGAATGTGGTTGACAATGTATTGCTTGTTCATCAAATGGATGCTAAAGTTGTGATCATATATGACCTATTTATGGGCTCTCACGCACCAGTGTCTTCACCGCTTCCACTATTGATGAGAGGTTCACTAAAAAGTACTGATGCAACCTCTCAGTCGATGTGCCAAAATTCCCAAGCCTCAGAAGCAAAAGGCTTGAGTGATGCTGACACAATTATGTATGGCGATGCTTGGACTTTTCTTGTTCCTGATCTTATATGCGATACACGTAACGGATTGTTGTGGAAAATCTACTTAGATCTAGATGTAAGCTTTCGTTTCCATAGGATCCATACTCATGTTGTGGGTAGCGGCTCACTATGTATCTTATATCACGGTGTTGGTATTTGCAGGCCATTTCTGCCAGCAGCTCTGAAGTGCAACTAGTCCTAGAATTTTTACAAAGAAGGAAATTAGAAGCAGGAAAGGTAATTTGGTAGAATGTGGTGCAGTGGCACATATTTTTCTTTCATCATCAGTTCCCAAATAAGACAAATTTCAATATTTCAAAGGAATAAATTTTACTTGCAATCTTATTTCCATGCTCATGGAGAAGAAATCTGGACTCAGTGAGACATTACTACCCCTAGATTCTCGGAGGACTGGTACCACATGTATAGCTAGAAAGTGGTATTTCGGTCTTTGCATTTAAAATCCCCTTTCTATTCGATTGTCAATGAAACACTAGAATTTAAATTCGTAGTAGTAATATTCTCACCAACCAAACAATCATATTTGAAAAAATGTTCTTTATTCTTCTTGGGTGGAATTTTAGTTTCATTGCCCATTTATTCCTTTTTTTCCAACCAAACTACTAGGCCTGTCAGTGGGTGGGTTGGGAACTTATAGTTCCGATCTGTGCCCATTACGAGAAATTGATCCCCACCCATGCCCAAGACCCATCAGGTCTACCATCTGTGTTACTAGACCATGACCATTTCGGGTCAGGTCCAAATCCGGGTCTAGACGGCTGAGAGTTTTTTTGTTTATATTTCATCTTTAGATCTGAATTCGTATTCATTTGCACCTGATAAATAATTATATTTTTTTAATGTTATCAAAGTTCTTATATTAATTCTCATAAAATATTAAATTATGGAGTATTTTAGTGTGATTATTAACCTCAATTTTCATATAAAACACTTTGAAGTGTAAATACATTATTTATTTCTATAATCTCATTAACATTTTAAATTCATTATTTCTTTATTACGGGTTGGGTCCAGAATAGTGTGTTCTAAACCTGGACCCGTTTAAAAGTTGGGTCCGGATCCAGGTCAGGTTAACTGAATTAAGCTTACCCTATACCAGAAAAGTAGTTGATGGGTTTGGGTCAGAACTGGGTCAAAACCCGACTCATTGGCAGGCCTACAAATGACCTACAGTCCAGCCACATTGTTCTTGTCAATTGATGTCATATGGCCAGCCCAACTTGATTTTATAAGTATAAATATGGCCTTAGAAACGACACCTCTATAGGAGTGGCCCTTCAAGATGCATGAATTTGATAGTTCTGCATGGACTAAAATTCGCTATCTCTATACAAGATTTAATTACTCCCCTAACCTTACTGTCTTTCATTTGCCTTATGTTATTCTAGGCTAAACAGTTGTGTCTATCAATTACTCGCACCATTATTCTTGAACGACGGCCTGTACCAGTGGTTGCCAGAGCAGTAGATGTCTTAGTCACCTCTTTCACCTCCTTGCTAAAAACTGGTAATCATGAGAAGGGGTCTAAGGCAGAGAAAGCTTCTCATTCTGGCAATTCTAACACCACAGCAGCTGTTGACAAAAACACAAAAACAGCAAAAGATGAAACCACAAGCTTCATGCAGCAAAAATCTGCTCATAGGCCTTTTCCTGGTTCAGGATCTGATGATCATGATAGCTATGGAAAACAGCAAAGTGAATTCCAAGATCTTGAATCTTCAACTTCGGGGCCCCCCCAAGTGAGTTCATCAGTGGTTAAGCCTCAAAATGTTGGGACGAGTAGCACCCCTTTAAACGCCAATGTCCCTGAACAACATATATCTCATGAGACTTCGGCTGCAATTTCGTTAGATGATCTATATAGTTTTGTGCTTTCTTCAGTTGAGGAAGAGATGACCGGAGATGCTTCATACTTGGTTGCTATTATCATTGAAATCCTTCGCAGGTATCTTGTATTCCCTGGAATTTCAAAATGTATTATTCTTGAATAAAGTGGCGTCTTATGTGAAAGAATCACTGATGACACATCCATAGACTATGTTTGAGCTGATATATCTCTGTGATGAGCGGAGTTAAATGTGTGCAGAGTTTCTTGTGCAAGAAAACTAATACCCTATGTCCCAAAATTTATTCTCCAATTGCATTTTGCATGCATATGTTGTTAAGTAAATTGAAAAAAATAATACTCCCTCCGTCCTAAAATTAACTTCCCACTTTCCTTTTTGGGTTGTCCTAAAACTAACTTCCCGTTTCCCTAAATGGCAACTAAACCAAGAGTAATTGTCTCTTTTTCCCTTTAGAATTTTACTCTCCCCCATTTCTCTTTTCTTCATCCTCAAACTCTCTACGATCTCTTCATCCTCTTCTATAATTTCTTCTCATCTTCATCATCTCCTTCTCTCATCTTCTCTTGCATGTCTGTGGCGGGGCTTCATCTTCTCTTTGATTTTCTTCTCGTCTTCATCTTCTATTTTCTTCTTCTACTCTTCTTCTCTCCTCTCTCTGTGGTGGAGCACAAGCACACCTGGGGTGGGGCGGGCCAACAGATCCGGCAAGGACGACAATAGATCTAGCAAGGAGGGTAGAAAANAAGTCTCTATTGCAGATCTTGAATGCTGAGCGTTGACGACAATTTTGATTTCTTATTTTAGATTTTATTTGAGATTCATGTTTCTTTTAGAATGTGATTTTATTGTTGTAATTGCTTTTAAAATTCATTTTAGATTTTTTGTTTCTTTCATTATGTGATTTCATGATTATAGGACTAAATTTTTGTGGATGAATATGTGAGACACCAGATAATTTAATCCAAGGTGTCTTTGTTCATAGTCAATCCGAGAAGACATTGTTCGGTTGAGTAGCGGTAGAGGGTATTTTGGGAAAGTCAAAACATTTTTTCCACTTTCTTAAAAATGAGCTCCGGTCAAACCGGGAAGTTAATTATAGGACGGAGGGAGTAACTAATTAACACCAGATTTAGGTTGATAGATGAAATTAAGGAGTTGATGATGCAAACAGTGTTACTTTTCCTCCCTTTTTTCCTTACCCTCCAAAAGGTGGATAGCTTTCATAAGGGGTGCAAATTGTTCGAAATGCCAAATCGGAAAAAGGGTAAGTTGGAAAGAGTAGATAGTTGAAACTCTAAAATGAAAGTGGACAAATTTTTGGAATAACCCAAAAAGGAACTTGTGACTTGGGATGCATTTGGATATAAGAGTGGTTACTAGGCTGTGTAATCAGTAATTACTAGGACAGAAAATATGCAGTTGTGTAATTAGACTTATAAGCACCTAAAGTTGACCTTACATGCCCAATGAAATAGTATTGCAAAACACGTCTTTTCAAAGGGGTGAAAAGTGATATTTCATGATCCATGACGCAATCAAATGTCTGAGCATGTCAAACATTTATGTATGTTTATCAATTTTGGTGCTTTAAATTGTTGTGCTGCTTTTGGATAAGGCATGTTCTCTTCATTGTTCCAGTGCTAATTCTGAAAAACTAAAAGTACCTTCAAATATTTACTGTTTGATGATACAATTGCTTGCACGGAATGAGCGTTATGCAGAAGTTGGATTATTCAACATGAATAAGGTTCCCTTACTTCCTGAACTCAATACATGTTACAAGTGTTGTATTCATTTCATATCAAGTTGCAATGTTTATTGGGCTGTTGCAGATTATTGAACCTTCAAAGGAAGTTGCAATGCAATTGTTAGAATCAGGTCAAAGGAATTTCCAAACAAGGAAGTTGGGCCTAGATATGCTCCGGGAGCTCCAACTACATCATGACTATGTCTTGCAACATGTGCAAGATGGATACTATCTTGAAGCTTTACGTTATGCTCGGAAAAAGAAGGTAATATACTAGCCCCCTCCCCCCCCAAAAAAAAGAGAACAATTGAAAATTCAAAAACCGTATATCCATATTTTATTGAAAATTGCATGGGCTTAAAAACCGAGCAAAGGCGCTTTGATATTTAAGAATAAGTTGCTATTATCATCAGTGCCACCATGGCACCACCTTAATGTCCAATTTGTTAATTCTTGGTGACATGAAATTCTCGATGATGATTCACTGTGTAAAATTATTTAACATAAAAAATTCATGCGAAAAGCACAATTGCAAAGCTTTATGTTGAATGCTCCCCACATGCAACCTTCTGAAGAAAAATAATGTGACGATTTTATATGCTCTTTTTTTTCATTTGCATGAAAAATAGAATGTGTATTTACTATTTAGACACCTTAACCATTCCAAAAGGTACATGTAAGCACTAAGTTAACACATTTTACAATGTAGGCACTCAAGTCTCCAACTTTTTATAGTTTATATTAGTGTACAATAACACATCTGTTAACTTTTTCATTAATTATCTACTCCCTCCGTCCCAATTTAAGTTGCATGATTAGTATTCACAATTTCACATGGTAAACCTTTAATCACTTTCTTTACCCATTTCTGTTACTCATTTCATCATTTGATAAAATAATATAATCATGACGCCTATTGTTTTGTAGAACTTTTGATATATTTTTTAATATATAAATTTTATTTTTTAATTCTACACCAATTTTCAAATAAATTGAATTTAAAATAGTTTTAGTCAAACATCGTAAACATGAATGAGAAACTTAAATTTGGGTGTAGGTAGTAATATCTTAATGCGAACATGGACCTAATATACTCTTACAACTTGCTGACAAGTTAATACTACAGCTGGACCTGTAGACATAAAATTGGACCTACTGGCTACTACTATGTGTCAAGGGGTTTTGTGAAAACCTCTCTACACTTATGGGTAGAGGTATGGTTTGTGTATGTTTTGCTCTCCATAGGTCCTATCTACTGGAGCCATACATTTTTTCCATCATCTCCGATGGATCCAAAAATTCACTATTTTTTGGTTTTGGGGTGTGATGGAATAAAGCAAAATGGATCTCTAAACTGTTTGCGCTTCTCTAAGCTGGGGGTCTCCTTGGAAACAACCTCTCTACTTTCGAGTAGGGGTAAGGTCTGAGTACACCCTCTCCAGGCCCTACTCTTGTGGGATTCAACTGGGTTGTTGTTGTAGGTCCTATCTACTGGGATATGTTGTATTTTTGTTTAATTATAAAGTTGGTGGTAAACTTGCCACACCTAATCTCATAGGTTTTATCAAATAATAGATGTAATTATACTCAATTCCTATTTTCTCATTTTCCAATTGAGAAAACAGTGTCACATAGGGTTCCAAAATTGCCTGATTCTGGGTAAAAAAGGCTAGGTGTGTATGGTCAAACATACATTGATAGAGAAACACAATGACAAGAGGTAAGCACTTTGTTTATGAATAAAGTAATGTGTGTTTGTGATTAAGCTGCTTAATGTTCTTATGTAGTTCAGGATAATTTGTTATTTTCATGAAATTGATCAATTTTCCAAGCCTTCGAGATGGCGTTCTGGTTTCTGAATGATTTATTGGCTCATTTGAAGATTCGTAGCTCTCTGAATGATTAGTACTTAAACTTACCTTTTTGAATATTTAAGCTTTTTAAACGCACCTTAACCATATAAAATATCATGTAGCAGTGATGAGTCGATAACTTGAGATAGTTAAGGCTATGCCTTTGTTTGGTTAAGGGGAAATACGTGTGAAAGAAGTAGAGGAGAAAGATATGTAACTCTTTTTTTAGTGAGAAGAAATATGGGGAGACAAAAAATGGAAGTGGCGGAAATGGTCTTCCATTATACTATTAACTATCTGATATGTCATGAATTGTGTTTCTAAATTTTGAGTGCTTTGGAGCCCTAAAATTATCTGCCTTTTGGCCTCAGATAGGAATGTATGGGATTAGTGCAGTTGGGTAGACATGTGGCCTCAGTTTGTAGTTTATATGGTGCATTTTTATGCCTTACTTTGTAGTATCTTCTTGTGTATTTCTTGTGCCTTGGATCTAGTTGCCATAGCCGGTGTGTGTGCTTCTTTTGTATATGCTTGTACTTCGTTCACGCAATTGTGATTTCTTTGTTCGTACTTTTGTATTTGAGTGAGGTTTCTTTTAGAAACAGCCTCTCTACTACTAAGTTTGGTGAGCAAAAGAGATATCGGGTTTGATATCTCCAGATCAGAAATCCTCCAAATGGAGGGTTTCGATATCTCCCGAATTTGGGAGATATCAATATGGGGGTTTGATATCTCTCTCAACCGTTGACCATTCTCCGCCGCTGGCTACCATTGTCACCGCACCGCCAACCACTCGTGTTGTTGGTCACCCCCGCCTATCACTAATTAAATCATGATTTTAAATCTCTCCAAACAACTTTGTTTCAGATTTCAAATCTCATATCATATCTTCTAGATTTCAAAACTACTACGGAGTATATCTTATCATACCTCCAAAACTCACCAAACGGGCCCTTACGGGTAAGGTCTGCACGCACACAACCTCCCCAAACTATACTTTGGTGGGATTTTACTGTGTTTATTAGTGTTAGCGAGTCCCCACTTCCTCCATCTCTTTCTCACTAATTCTTTCATAAACCAGACAAAGGCTGCACGAACAAAGCTTTTGGCGGTTCATGTAATGTTTGGGATAGATCCATGTGTTGATGATGTTGCTGCTAATAACTGGCTGGTTTTTCAGGTTAATACGGTGCGCCCTTCGTTGTTTCTTGAGGCAGCTCATGCTTCTAATAATTCCCAGCACTTGGCTGCAGTGCTGAGATTTTTCTCCGACTTCATCCCAAGCTTCAAGAGCTCAGCTGACCACCAAGCATACACCCGTCTTCTTGCTAATATGAGCGCACCAATTGCTCGTCATCATGGTGACCGGCTTTTGACGTAAAGACCCCTGTCCCGGTCTCGGGTTTCTCACTCCGTTTCACCGGTGAGTCAAAACATGTTTAATACTTGGTGCCAATGTTTCTCTTACTTGCTGTTAAGTTTGTATCTCTGCAATGTTACTCAAAGTGTTCTAGTTTTAAGAAGGTTAATAATTGGATTGCTCATGCATTTGGAGTAACCAAATAATTTGGAGATGCTCAGGAGTGTGTTGGGCAGTTCATGTAATTTTATTTTCTAAAAATAGTATGTGGACGATTGATTTTGAACAAACGAAAATTTAAAAAAAATGATAATTGTATGGGAAAAAGACTAAAGTAAGAGTATAACATATAGAATGTATCGAAGCAGGAACTCTATGATTTTTATTTTCAAAATAAGAGTACAATGTCAATAATGTCAATATATTATATCAAAAAATACAGTAGGATGCCACTCTCCCTACTTCCGAGTAGGGGCAAGGTCTGCGTACACACACCCTCCCCAGACCCTACTGTTGTGGGATTCACCTGGGTTGTTGTTTGTGACAGTAGGATGCCACTATACAATGTCATAATAATGTCACAGTGCAAATTTTTATTTGGGAGATAAAATCATAAAATTCCTATTTTAAAGATAAATGCTATATTTAACAAAAGAACATTTTATATCCATGCAAAAGTGCTTAGCAGCCCATAGTCCCATAGGTTTTAGAGCCCTCCTCCTCCTCCACATAGGTTTTAGAGCCCCTTGATGAGGTGGCTACCACACGGTGGATAATGTCTATGACTACACATGGTTTAGTCAAATTTTCTCTCTGTCCTGCAAAAAATTATTTGATTTTGTTTTTTGCGCTGTTTAAAAAAAAATACTGAAAAGTAAAACCAATGTGATTGAATTTTCTGAATTACATGTTCTCTTCCTTGTAAGGAACTCTATTTTTTTAAAAAAAAACGGACAAAAAAAAAAGAAAAGTGAGACAATTTTAGCTTTTTAAGTCCGGTTGGAATTTTCAAAATATTGTAAAATACTTGTAACACAGAAAGAAATTTCCTCATTTTGGTGGTTGTCTCTATGTTCTCTTTTAGAAAATTAATTATTTTAAATACGGAATCTAAATTTGTTTTTTCTAGTTTTCTGCCTATGTCAAAAGCTGAGAAAGTAAAAATCTACTCCCTCCGTCCTGAAATGTTCTTCTCATTTACTATTCACACGGTTAAACTTTAATAACTTTCTTTACCTATTTTCATTAGGTATTTGATAAAGTAATATAGTCTTGTCACCACTTGTTTTGTAGAACTTTTGATGTATTTTTAAATATATAAATTTTATTTTTTAATTTTACACCTACAATCAAATAAATTGAATTAAAAATAAAATCGGTCAAACTTCGTAAACAGAACCGGGAAGAACATTATAGGACGGAGGGAGTAGTAAAATCACTAGCTTACACTTACAAAATTGTTTGTATTTAACGCAAAAGTTGAGAATCAGTAATAAAAAAACAGTGAAATATATTCTCATATTACTCTATGGAATGGGAGTATATGGATTTGTTCTTTTCAATTTATTCAATTTATTCTTTTTATTTATTATTTATTCTTATTGGAATCAGATCAGAAACAATTTTAAGTACAACTAGTCATATAAGAATTTGATCAAATTAGATTAGAACAAATAAGTTGAAGAAAACAAGTTTTATATTTCTCAACAGTAAAATTATTTCACAAATGAAAACCAAATACCTTTGGAGGGCTTATGTGTGTTGAGGTTGTGGGACATGAGGAGTTGACAATTTTCAAATTCTTTTAGGTCCCCACAATTTTGTTGCCCAAACATATCAATTCTCTCCTCTATTCTACTTCCTCCATCCCAGATTATTTTACACATTTGACTTCACGATTTTTTTGAAGTGTTCATAAGATGCTAAAAAGATGTTAAAAAAATGAAAAAAGTAGTGGTTGATTTTTCAAAAGAAAGATATAAATATATTTGGGCAAAGTGTTTTTCTTTTATAAAGCTACTAAATTATTTTCCAACATAAGAAAATAAATACGGAGTAAATTATTTTGGGACGGAGGAAATGTGCACTACAAGTAGTGCCTTTTTAAACACGTTTCGTTCAAATCCCAAAAATGATAATCGAGGATTAAAAGACAACACTTAGCCTTAGTTTTAGAAATAGAATAGATTGAAGGTTAGACAAAGAATTTCACCGTTTAGTGTTAAAGAAGAAATATGTGTTGGAGTATCCTAATCACTAGTCCCCTAGTCGTCGGTCCATCATATTTAAACACTTTTAGAATTATTTAATGTTTAATAATTAACCTTTGCAAAAAAAAAGATCTCCACTCTATATTTGATTTAATGTTAGTGAGACACGTTTGAGGAATCATATTTTCATCATTTGACATTTTTTTTGGTTTAAAAGAGATGAGATTTTGCACATTATGCGTAAGGGAGCGATAATTTAGAGATGGATGGAGTATTTTTGTATACTCAAAGAGCAATGAACAACTTCGTCTCTCCCAACTGAATAAAGTGAAATGATATCGGTAGGTGTTACACAGTTGAGAAAGCTCTACTCTGCAAGTACTAGTTGCAAGCTCTACTCTCTGCCCTCAATATGCGATTAAAATCCAATTTGCTTCCTCTCAGTGATTATCCGGTCGGGTCTGAGGGAGGCTTTGGGGATGAAGCTTATCCTTTACATTATGTTTGGTTCAAGGAATTTGAAAGGGAAAAAAAGAAATTAAGATACAAAACAGTTTTTCTTTTTTGGTTGAAGAGGAAAAGAAAAGAAAAATTGATAAAAAAAATAAATGAAAGGTAAAATATACTAAGAGGATGGAAAACCATTTTTTTTCATTTAGGTAGAGAAAATGAGACATTTTTTTTCTTTTTCTTCCAAATTCCTTGAATCAAAAATAATATTAACAAAAGTGAAATGATTTGATTCATTGATTGCTCAAACGTTGTGATCGTACTCCGTAGATCCATTTTAGTGTTGACATAATTTTAGAAATTTATGTAATGAAATGAAATAAGTACTCCATAGATAGATACATTAATGCAAACCTTAGAAAAAAAGGAGGATACGATACCACATAACTACTTGACATTAAAGAAATGTGGGGTTTAAATATTAATTATTTCGTTGATGATAAGACTAATTATCATACACGGAGAAAAAATTTAAAAAGTGTAATTTTGTTGTTGTACAAGTTGACGTATTTTTTTTGTTGTATCTAACATCTATATTAGAAAAATACATTTATATTGCATAAATACTATATACTCCCTCCGTCCCAAAAAGATTTACACCTTTCAAAAAAATTGTGTCCCACAATCTCCTACCCATTTCTATTAAAAAACCACTTTTACCCCTTATTTTTTCAAACCCTACCTATCACATCATACTTTTTTCCTAATAATCTACACATCACATCCTACTTTTACTCATCATATCAAGGATATTTTTGGAAAGTCAACATAAAATTGTCCCTCCATTAATTTCAACTTTAGTCAAAACGTGTAAATCTTTTTGGGACGGAGGTGGTATATATAAAAATCAACGTATAGTAATTGAATCTACAAGTTCAATTTTCGGTGGGGTTCCGTTGACACTGAATCCATTTTGGGATGACACTCGCCCATTTTGAGGCACTTCCAGTGTTCCGTTTGCAAAATTGATTATTCTTACCCCTAACCAACCATAAACTCCTTGCTCCAACCTCAACCCCTACCCCATCTAAGTCCCCTCCTAATGTGTGATTATTCTGCATTGCATAATAGTCACATATTTAGAAATGGGTTTGGGGTGAGGGTGGTTAGACCGAGTAGGAACCATTAATTTTATAAATGGAACATCGAAAGTATCCTAAAATGACAGTGGCACCGAAATATCATCGTACTCCGATGTCACTAGAACCTCACAATTCATTTTTTTCTTAAATTAAGTTAAAATTAAAGCGGAAAGTTTAATTTGAGACCAACCTCACAAATTTGTGTCAAAAGTTCACCCGTCTTTTACTAAGCTCAAAGTAAGTCAGCCAGCCCAAGAAATTTTTATAAGACGCCGTTACTTTCTTCCAAACTCTATTTTTTTTTCTACGCCTTATAAATACGTTTTCTACCTTCTTTATCTAAAAAGACTAAAATTTACTCCCCCTTTGCTCTCCTTCCTCCCCCTTCAAAAAGCTCTGTACGCTTTGCCCGTTGTCTCATTTGTCTGCGGTTCCATTAAATCCATTAATGAATGCTTTTTAGAGAGAGAGAGAGAGAGAAAAGGCATCCGCCATAGCTTCCGTCGCAAGCTCCTATTTTTCTTCTTCTTCTTCTAGTCTTCTCTTCATCGATTCCGTCTGAAAGTTATTGACAGCACATCTATTGTGTGAATGCGCGTGATCGGCGAGAGGATGACGGTGCGTTTTCCTCCTTCTTAGATCCCCCGTTCCTTGCTCCGGAGTCCAGAGCATTCGTCCGCTAGGTTTATCAGCTCGTTGAGTGGATGATTTGATTTCCTCCTAATTCGGCTTGTTGAACAGTTCAAGGTACTTCAATTGCCGCCGCGTTTCTGTGCGTTTTGCTTTGAATTCAGTGATTTTGACCTTGAAAGGATCGTTCGTTGATTCCGTGGAGTTTTTTTTTGGAAAATTACTGCTGTGACTCTTATAATTTACTTTTCCAGAATGCAGTTCCGTTTTTGAGCGTGTGATTTTTTTTATTATTTTAATATATTATATAAAAATGTTGCGAGACTGATGTGATAATATGATTGAATGTTTTGGCCGATTTTGGTTAATTTTTGTTTATTGAATTCCTTTGGTTTCTTATTATATATATTTTTTGGTAGCTAGCTGAAATGACTACAAGACAACTTGCAAAATCCCAAAAATCGAGCTCTAGAGTGGCGAGTTCCCCAGCATCGGCAACTAGTTCATCGTCAAAACAGTTCCGGGAAATTTTTATCGACAGCGCCTGTTCACCGGCGTCTTCATCCGCCCGGAGTAAGCCTCAGTACTATTCCTCTGAGAGTTCTCCTCCCACTCGGGAGATCTCCAAGGAAAATGTTACTGTGACTGTGCGGTTCAGGCCTCTAAGGTGCGGCTATAATTTCTGAAAGCTAATCCCTAATGATTAGCTGTAGCTGTGTTATTTCTGAGTATTTAGTTTGGTTGATTGTTGGGCAGTCCCAGAGAGATTAGACAAGGGGAGGAAATTGCATGGTATGCAGATGGCGATACGGTTGTGAGGAATGAGCATAATCAGTCAATAGCATATGCCTATGGTATTTCCTATCAGTATGTTGGTTTATTGTTATTC